AGAGAGAGAGAGAGAATGTTTAAATATTTATTTATTAGTATTTGGCAGACACAACATCTTTGTTTGTATGTGGTGCTGAGGATCGAACCCAGGCCGCACGCACTCCAGAAGAGCGCGCTACCGCTTGAGCCACATCGCCAGCCCCTCTATGTCTTTCTTTATTTAAGCACATTGCTTGGTTGTTTGGAGTATACCGAACATGAGATTTTGGATTCTTCCATTAACAACCTTAATATCCCCATACTGGATGGACTTGCTTGAAGTTCTTGTAAGGTTTATTCTTCATGACAGAAAATCAGAAAAAAACCCAAATAGGCCTAAATAGGAAGCAGAATTGCATTGATTCCATGCATACTACATAGCTATTAATACAGAAAAGGAAATATGTCAATTTTATCAAAATAGTCGATAGGGATATAAATGACAAAAGTATAGTATAATATTTATTTAGTTGTAGATGAACGATCACACAGTATCTTTATTTTTATGTGGTGCTGAGGATTCAACCCAGTGCCTTACACATGCGAGGCAAGCACCCTACTCACTGAGCTACAGTCTCAGCACCCTGACCAAAACTTTTTTAAAAAGTGTACTAATAAGAAACAAATTTATCCAGTAAAAAGTCTGTTTTAGCTGGGTGCAGTGGCTCATGTCTGTAATCCCTATGCATAAGGGCCTGAGGCAGGATTGCAAATTCAAGTCCAGTTTCTACTACATAGCAAGGCCCTAAGCAACTTACAGAGACTCTGTCTCAACCAAAAGGGCTGGAAAAACTAAATATTAAAAAAATTCTCTCTCTCCTCTCTATCAAAAAAAGCGTTGTCAACTCATAAGATCTACAATTTTGGGGCTGGGGATGTGGCTCAAGCGGTAGCGTGCTGCCCTGGCATGCATGTGGCCCGGGTTCGATCCTCAGCATCACATAAAAACAAAGATGTTGTGTCCGCCTAAAAACTAAATATTAAAAAAAGGGCTGGAGATGTAGCCCTAGTGGTAAAGTGCCCCTGGATTAGATCTCTAGTACAACTCTGCTGCCCAAAAAACCCCCAAAAGTCTGTTTCAATTTTAATTTTTCCTTTTAGTGTTGTTATATTAATATTATTCTTTATTAAGGTAAAAATCTTTAAGTACCTTAAGACTGACATACTACATAAATGCAATCTATATCCTTTATGTACTTTTGGAAAATAATCAAGATACACTGCCTCCAAAACTTAAAGTCAACAGAAGAAGAAGAGTGAAAGCCTGCTGAACTTCCTGGACAAGGATAAGATCTCATCTGTTTCTCTATAATCAGGACTGTAGAAAACAGGATTTGAATTTGAAAGTAGGTTGGGGTAGAAAGAGCCTAGGTTTTGGGGTAGCTGTACCAACGTTCTTAATTCTTTTTTATTACATTTATTTGTATGTGGTGCTAAGGATCGAACCTACTGTAGCTCAGTGCCTCACACATGCTAGGCAAGCGCTCTACCACTGAGCTACAGACCCAGCCCCAGTGTTCTTATTCTTACTTTGCCACTTACTAGCTATGTAAACTTGTGAAAAGTACTTTTCTGCATTTTTCTCCTCACAGACAGTTAAGGGGATTAACATTCAAAGGCTTTTGAGAGGATAAGGGGAGATGAAATATGCACGTCAGTCTCACAGTCCTTCCCTGTTTGACAGTCTGTTTCTTGCTGCTTCTTAATAAGATGTGGCCTTTTAAAAATTTCCTTGTGTGTGCGGCACTGGGGACTGAACCCAGGGCCTTGCATGTGATAGCCAAGTGCTGAGCTCTACCCTAAGACCTATTTGTGACTTTTAACATCTTATGTTCACACAGATTTTTTACCTTGAAAAGTCAAATTTCCATATAATCAATGTTTGTAGTATTACTAAACTTTGATGTCAGGCTGGCTGGCTGAGGCTTGGAGATAGGGAGGTGAAATTACTCTATTTTACAGATGAGACTTTGGAAGCCTATATAAAGGTTAAGTGACTTAGCCAACATCACTAAGCTCAGACAGTATTGAAACAGCATGAAATGTGTCATATTTAGCAAATTATACAGCTATGACCCTTACCCAAGATTGATGGATCTTTTCTTGAATTAGGCCAAAACCAATGTATAAAGTTTCGTTGCCAATAAATACAGCTAACAGAGTTACTGGTTTTGAAGTTTATAAAAGAGAACCGGAAGCTCTACAATATAAAAATTAATACAAAACACAGTAAGATATATTTTAGGAAAATGGTTGAGATTAGAAACTTGACCTCTATTCCATTTTTTTTTAAAAGAAAATTATAGTAGTGTAGAATGTGAAAGAGGTTTTAATTTTTTAGCAACTATGATTAGCACAAATAGGGAAAAGACAGCTGAGACTGAACTACAAATATTAAAAATGTGATTTTTAATAATATAAGTACAAAATTTTATTTCTTTATACAACTGTAATGGGATTTGGATCAAACCACTAGAATTTATTTAAAAAAGAAAATAAAACAATGATATAAAAACTGCAAGAAGGCCCGAATCCAAAGTTTTTCCTCTAATAGTACCAAATACCACAAGGTACAGATTATTATACAAATGTGTACAAATCTTAAATACAAATACAATAGGACTGGGTTTCGAAGGAAAACAAACAAAAAAGTGGGTCCTCATTGGGATTTCATTCATGTATACAAATGACAGTGGCAGGAGTGAGTTCTTTCTGTCCTACCATGTCTCCCTGCCCCTCCCTGATATCCTGTGTCGGAACAGGAAACTTGCGCGGGACAGATGAGGCATGGCACAAGGTTCTGACACATGAAAACAAGCTAAGATTTCTGCTTCTCTTGATTCAATTCCTAAACATTCCGGTTTCTTTCTATTTCCTGGATTAAATCTTAAAACTGCTCTGAGCTGAGAAAGGGACTAGGCAGCCAGATGCCTCTGGGAAGCACAGCCCTGGTAACACTGGTGGAAGAAAGGAAGGAATGAATGGGACGCCTGCTGGCTGCACTGTCCCCAGAGGTCACTGTGATGCTGTCCTGCTCTGTCTAGGCCGGGGAGGAAAGCACAGTTGCCTCAGAGCTTGGTTTTGGCAGGGAATCTCACACCAAACAGAAACCACCCTGAAGTGTCCGACTGTCTTCTTTGCAACTGGGAAGCAGGTCTAGGTCTTTGGAAATAAGGGGAGCTGGGAATGGTAATGTTTCTTTTTATTTCACTTTCTCAACATTATCGAAGGCCATGAAGTTCTTTATAGAGAATTAGAATCCCGACATAATGATTCCTTTTTGAGGTACAATACCTTGAAATATAGGTGATTTAGAGTTTTTGGAACAGCCCAGAGGAAGGGAGGATGAAATAATAAATCTGTATCTTCCACATGCTGTTGCTGGTGGAGGCTTTTGTTATTAAATTATATATACATAAATTTACAGGATAAATTAAAATCTAAGAAATTTTAAAGAGTTAAATACACATAATTAAAATACACATTCACACACACACACACATAAATAAACCTACATGAGAATTGAGTACTTTTTTTGCAATTCACTTACATGTGGAACGCAGAACACTGTGTATCTGCCCACCAAGGGAACTGTTAAGATAAACCCAAGAACCACGCTGGGCCAAGTCTACCTTCCATAACCACCAAGCAAATGAGCAGCAGGATTTCTGAGGACTTGGTGGCCAACCTAATGCTGCCAATGAAAGATATCAGCTCTTGGTTTTACAAACCAAATACTCTGGTCAGCTAAGAGAATACGTGCAGGTCCAACGGTGGCACCAGCAGCATCACCCTCTCCAAGGTATTTTTGCTGCCAGGAATCATACAACTCCTTGGCCTCTGCTGAGGCTGCCAATGGTACCAATGATTACGATAAAGTTTGAGACATGGACACTGTATAGTAGGACTTGGAATGAACCCCCTACTTAGTCCATCTAAGCCACTTTAATAACCACAGTGGGAATGAGCTCATCACCTCCCACCTCCGTCACTTCAGATTGAAAGCCTTTGTACTTCGGGTCAGCTGGCACCCTCCCATAATCTCTCTTATTATATGTCTGACTGTTAGACAGGTAAGGCAAGTGGTCAGTGATGGGTCTGGAGGTACAAATGAGTTTGGAAAAAAAAAATCACATTTTAGCTATCCATAAGGAGATGCACGTGGCACCCAGAACAAGCCCCCAGCCCCAAGATACACTGATTTTTAAGGCAGATTTACCCACCACAAGAGAAGAAAGATCCCAAGCCCATACTCATGCCAAAGATTCCTCTTGGCTAAACCTTTGCCATTTCATAAAATTATTAAAAGCAAAGTAGTTACAATCCTATGTATATATTGTACATTACATATATACAGATATATATATGTATATATATGTATAGATATAAAAATGTAAAACCTACACCCAGAGGCCAGCGAAGGGGTTTGAACAGTCATATATACACAAACCTATACACAAAGGGTAGGTGAGGCTTCTGCCCCAGGAGTCTCCGCTGTCACAGTCCAGGCATGATGTAAGCAATGTTGTCTAGCGTGTTTGACTGCAAAACAAGGAAAAAAGGTTCAGTTGAAGGGTACTTTACTGTGATTTCTTGAGATATGTTTTTTTGTTCAGGGAGAGAGATGAGACAGAAAAAGTGAAGTCAGAGAACACAGGATAAGAATGATGATGGCATCCTGCTGTTTGCAGGAGATTTTCTGCTGATTTCTCCCATTAATCCCAGTGAAAAAGAGAGAAAATTCCTGCACAGTATATAGAAGAGTAAATGGGAAATGCAGGAATTATAGCACCTCATGGGCTAGACTTCCTCTCTCTAACGTACCAGTTTGGGAAATGGCATATTTTCTAGTTTTACTACGCATAACATGCATTTGGTAAAACAGAACTCATTCCACGGGCCGTGTGCAATGAACCAGAAAGCCCTAGGAGTCTACCGGACAGCACCGGTTAAGGCAGGGCCTCTCTGATCTCCTAGAGGTCTGGCCCTAAAAGTCTAAGGAAAACTCACCAAGACTTGTTTGGGACAGCCATTCAATTCAGGTAGTTGTGTAGTCAGACATGCCAAGGGGCCAAGGGCACAGATAATGGAATCAAGAAGCACTGACAAACTGCCAGACACTGCCACCATGCCCTGAAAGGAGAAGACATTAACTCAAATCACATGCTTGATGCTCTCTCCATTTTCTGGTTAACTTCCTTCTGGTTTTTAAAATCCTGGACACGTCTAATCACATGACATAAAACCTACAGCACAAATGGAAAGTTTCTCTTTTAATTACTCTAAGTAGTTTAAAAGGATACTTCTTACTATACATTTTCAGGTTTTCTTTCTATATTCCTAATCCATCTTATCTTCCATGTGTCCTGGGAAAGTCACTTGACTCCCTTCTCCTGAACAGTGAAAAATGCCTTCCGTACTCCAGAGAGATACTGGGAAGATCTGTGAGATCTGTCATAAACTCCATGAATACAGCTCAAATATAATACTATGAAAACCCTACAGTCCCACACAATATCATTTACAGAAGCATATATGTACTTCTCTACAAATGTAGTCTTTTCTTTCTTTTTGTTGGGGGGGGGGCTTGTTTTGTTTTTGGTCTTTACTTTTTTTAGCACTGGGGATCGAACCCATGGCTTTGCACATGTGAGGCAAGCATTTTAGCACTGAGCTACATCCCAGCCCTATGTGGCTTTTGATAGCAGGTAATATCATTCTAGGTTAAATTGTTCACTCTCAAAAAAAAGTACACTTGGGGGTGCTTGGCACACACTTGTAATCCCAGCAGCTCCAGAGGCTAAGGCAGGAGGATTGTGAGTTCAAAGCCAGCCTCAGCAAAAGCGAGGCGTTAAGCAACTCAGTGAGACCCTGTCTCTAAATAAAATGTTAAGGGATGTGGCTTAGTGCTTAAGTGCCCCCGGGTTCAATCCCTGGTACAAAAAAAAAAAAAAAAGAGTGTTTGATTAATTTCAAAATATGACATCTCATTTAATTCATATTATCTACATAATTATGACTCAGAAAGATAAGAGGTAAGATTGCTGGCTGCAAATTCCACTTCCCAGCTCTTGCATAATCTGCTTTCATCAGAAGCACTGTGAGGATATGAAATCATCTCAAGAGGCAGCATAGGAGAGAATGGCTCTGAATCTGGACTGCCTGGGTCAAGATCCTGGCCCCACCTCTCATTGTTTTTGGTACCTGGGCAGTTGCTACACCTGCAGAATGGACTGCTATCGGCAGATGGGGTGGAGATAATGGATGTGAAGTACCTGGGATGGTATCTGGTAGCTGACTAGTACTCAAAAAGCACCAGAAGTTACACTATTACTGCCAACACCTTCATCTCCAGAGAGGCATTTCTGGTTGCTTGCTGGGTCTTTCCCGTTGGCCATTCCTCAATTTCAACACACCATCAAGAGCCGAACACACCCTCCTCTTAGCTTCCATTTATCTGCCAAAGTCATCACCTTTCTCACAGCTGCCCAGTCCCAAGGCCTCATCCCCGGCTGACTCTTCCTTTCCCTCAACCCCTGTCTGACATCTCCTCTCTCTACTTTCTGGGGTGCAGTCCACCAAGAGGTTAAGAGCCTGCACCTTAAAGTCACTCTTTAAATTCAAGGCTCTGATTCAACACTTAGGGGCTGAACTCCAGAAAAGGGACTCGACCTAAGTTTCTATTTCTTCTTTTGTAAAACTGGGGGACAACAACGCTACCTCCCAAGCTACAGTGTGAATTAAACGAACTAATCAACATGAAGCTCTGAACCAAGCCGGCTGAGCAGCACTCAGAGTCTGACAGCGTCAGCAGGTAGCCGCATTGCTCCTGACCTGTGCCCTGTAGTTAATTATAGCTAATATTTTATGGCTCAGCCTGAGTGGATTCTAAGTCCCTGGAGGGCAGGAACCATAACCTACACATTTTAAAGTTCTCCTATAACTACTGCTGTCCCACAGACAGGGAGTTGGGAGAGGCTGGAGGTGATTTCACAGCAACTCACATCCACTCACATGCAACCGAGTAAGCTCAACAAGCATCTGTTGAATTAAATTAAAAATTTTGTCATGTCTAAACTATTATAACTTCTCCCCAGTTCTGGAGTATTTTCATTTATAACTTAAAAAAGAAGATATTCTCAGAGAAAGCCAAATGGGGACCTCTGATTCCTGAGTAGCAGAGTGGAGACCTCCGTGTCCGTGAAGACCTGCTATAATTTGGGTTCTGGCCTTTATTTTCTACCGTAAATACTGCATGATCCAGTTTTACTGCTAAAATGATAAAACCATACGGTTTCAACTCTTTTTTTTTCAAATAAAACTTTCTAGGAACCCCAATATATAAAACAGCTAAAAGATCTGGCTAAAGTGGGGATGGAGGTACAGAGCCTCAATGGGGCTCGTATCCTTCTCTAAAAAGACCCTGCGGTTGAGCAATGGAGGGATGCAGTGTTCTTGGATTGGAATGTCTCTCCAGAAACTCTGTAGGACACAATCTGCCTATCAATCAAGGTTTACTCTGAATGCCACCCCCTTCCACAAGGCTGCTCCTGCCTCCTCTGACTCCCCAGTCTCCTACCTGCTTGAACTAGCACAGGAGGGCAGACACCAAGGGAGACGCAAGCAAGGCCAGCAGGGCTGTCCCTCTGGCTCCACTGCCAACAATTGAATCAACTTGTGATGGTCAGTGACTTTCATGAGGTTTTAGGTATTCAGACTCTAAATTAGCAAACTATATAAATCAATGTTCCTTAAAGTTGTGATATATAATTTTAGGTGGCATATAGATAAAGATTAATTATTATTACTTTTGAGATACTGGGGATTGAACCCAGGGGTGTCCTACTACTGAGCTACATCCCCAGTCCTTTTTATTTTGAGACAGAGTCTCACTAAGTTACTGAGGCTGGCCTTGAACTTGTGATCCTCCTGCCTCATTGGGTGAGGTGCGCACCACAATGCTCAGTGAACATTATTTTGATAGTTACATATCCATTATGATGTGTATTAGAAAAGAATTATAGCATCATTCTTGTGATTTCAAGGATACCATTATAAAAGCATAGACAGATTAAACTAAAAAGTAAATGATAGTATAAGTGGCACATAGAAATTGCAAAATTGTGAGAATATATTCAAGTAATAAAACTCTGGGGATAAGCCAACTGGAGAGGGAATGGGGAATGACTCCCAATGGGTATGGGGTTTTTAGGCAGGCAGTGAAAATGTTTTGGAGTTGGATAACAGTGATAGCTTGCAATTCTGAAAATGTACTAAACCCACTAAATTCCATATTTTAAAAGCATGAAATTTATGATATACCAATTATATCTCAATATAACTATTATAAAAAAAAAAGCAGACTAGAGAATCTGCAAAGTTCTTTTCCTTTTCTGGTTACAGTAGTTACCCCATATATGGGGTTTCCCTTTCTACAGTTTGTTATCCTCAGAGGTAAAGATGTGGCTCAGTGGTAAACCTAGCATGCATAAGGCCCTGGATTCGCCAGTACTGGGGGGGGGGGAGCAAAAGCAAAGCCAAAACAAATGAACCCCAAGACAATTAAAAATTTCAATTCCATGTTGTTCTGAATAGCACAATGACATCTCTGTTCCACTCAGTCCTGCCCCAGATGTGAACTGACCATTTGTTCAGAGTATCCACACTGTATATGCCACCCACTTGTTAGGCACCTCAGTTATCAAGCTGACTACTGTGTTATCAGTGTGCTGGTATATAGGGTTTGATACTCTGCAGTTTCTGGCATCTACAGAGGTCTTAGAACATATCCTCCACAGGCAAGGGACTACTGTACTATGTATATAACTTTCATTGTAACTCTTCATAGAAGCTGGTTTGTTTCAATTTATTACCTTATTTTTTCCCCTTGCTTTTTTTGTTTTTCAGGGCCAACTGAACTCAGGGTCTTGTGCATGTTAGGCAACCATTCTGCCACTGAGCTAAATCCCCAACTCCTGTTTCAATTTGTTGATTATAAAAATGTTCTGTCTTTCCAATTGTATTATAAGTTTCCTAATAATTGGCATACTGTGCCATTCAGATTTTCTACACCAAGTTCCTGGAAAAATGCCTAGGTATTCAAGAAATATCTGCCAAACTACATGGAAATCTGGGAAAACCTGGAATATGAAAGGTGCTTTAAAACACTTTTACTTCTAACTTTTTAGGAAACATATGAATCATTCAATATGAAAAACATAAATAAGGACCAGAGAATATATTCTGGAAATACCTTCAACCATTCACATAGATAAGTCTCCACAAGAGTGTTTAAGTTATTTTGATGTCTGCTGAATTTTTAGAAATTAGCCAAAGAACTCAGATAGCTTCATCTCTTATGGCCTTTGGCATTTATTTTATTTACTGAATGATAATTCCACTCCCACAAAGAAGCAAGTGATTAGCTTTATACTTCTGCACTGATTTCTTAGCTTAAAAATGGCTTTAGTAGTTTAGATCGCATTGCTGAATTGCCTTACGAGAACTGAAAGATGAACTACTATGCTACTGAGTTGGCTAACAGGCACAGTGGTTAGAAATTGAATACGGTCATAGAAATGGAGCACGGCAGCCTCACAGGTTAAGTGATTTTGAAATTGAAGCTTAAAAGGACGAACTTCTCCCCTGAGCACATAGCACTGTAATTCAAGGGCACTGTAACAAAGAGCTTGAGAAACTTGACTTCCCCATTTGCTACCTATTCTCAAGGAAGAGGGACTTTTAATCCCCCATACAATGTTGTCTGTCTACTTAGAACTTTGCTGAAAATGCACCAAAAAGTTCCAACTCCTCTAGAAGTACTAACAATCTGAACTGCAATGGATTTGCACTCATCTTTTACATAACATTTTTAAAGAACAAAAATTAGCTCAAAAGGGTATTCTAACTTCTTTTTGTGCCACTGGGTGGTATTAGTATAGCGACAACAGGTAGATTCCAAATTTCTGTTACCATTGTGTCTTCTTTTCACTGTTTCCTGAGTGCCCGGCACAATCTAACCTCAGGGAATAACCTCAGGGAGTGTGTGTTGAGTGAGTGGGTCTGCACTGCACATCCAGCGTGGGTCCTGCTGCAGGCGCTGCACTCACCTCTGTCTCCTGTAGGCGGTGTCCGATGAGGCTGAGAGACTCTCCCAACAGCTGAAGGTGAGCTGCAACATCTATGGGCTCTGTCTCAGGGGCTTTGGCTGGTGATGCTGGTAACAGCATGGTGGCTGGTGGGGACTTCTTTTGGGGTGACAATACTCCCACAGAAGCAGCTGAGAACAGAGGAATTTAAAGAGAGGTAAAATTTGTGGAATAAGATAAAATTTGTAAAGTAAGCCTTGAACACCAAAAAAACATTACTTTTGGCTTTTCCTTCAACTATTATCAAAACTATGGCCTGTGGACTAAATCTAGCCCAAGATCACATTTTGTGTGACTTGGGGGTTAAAAATAGTTTTATATTTATAAAGCGTTGTAGAAAAAAACAAAGAATAATAGGGTGGGGGTGTGGCTCAGGGTAGAGCGCTTGCTTGGCACATGCCAGGCCCTGGGTTTGATCCTCAGCACCACATAAAAATAAATAAATAAAGTTATTGTGTTCAACTACAACTAAAAAATAAATATTTAAAAACAAAACAAAACAAAAAAACAAAGAATAAGTGACAAGAGAGTGCTCATTGTACATAAGGCCTATACTTACTTTCTGGGCATACATACACACACACACACACACACACACACACACACAAAACTGAATCTCCCCCCCCTGCCCCCCCCCGCCTATACTATTCCGTAATAATACCTGGGTATAAAGTTTTGCTTCTAATATCAGCTGCTTTCCCAATTTCCTAGTAAGGAGGCAAAATTTACATCACTTTAGAATGAAGAATTTTCAGCAGGAAGGGGAAGTGGTCACTACCTTTGACTTTCATGGAACCTTCTGAGCTTGATGCTTTTCTTTTCACAGTTGTAGCTTCTGCTTTGTTCTGTTTATGCTGCAGATACTGAGCTTTTTGTTTCCAAATCTGCAACCAGATCAGTGTCCAATAGATTAAAACAAATTATAAGGACAAAAAAGTGAAATAGAAAGCAGTCATGGAGGAACAAAGTGAAGAAAGGAACAGTGGAGGGCAGGTAGGGATTAATGCTAACTCTTATGCTAAAGGGCCACTGAATTGCCTTTGACTGTTGTTTGTATTGATGTTTACCTGGAAATCAAAAACGTTCCTCAGTGCTGATGGTCAAATTTCAGTAGTGACTTGTAAACCTGTGGCTCTGTATAGTGTCCAGGTGGTTTAAATACTTCCTGTAACCTCATGGTTGACAAAACCAATAGTAAAACAAAAATGTCATGGAGAACAGCAACGAATGCTAATCTATCTGGTGAAAACCAGTTGTTTCATCTACAGAGTTATACTTTTTTTAAAAATTTTTTTTTTATTTTAATTTTTTTTAAATGAGTTGTACTTTAACCGACAGTTGTTCCCATACAATTTATGGATCACCCAACTGGAAAGTGACTCTGCATGATTAAGATATGAATTCACCATTGTCTTCTGAGCTGCTTGATGAGGATGGGGACCTGGAACCTGGCTAAGTGTGTTCCATGATTTTATTGTCTGAGGATGATGATCCTCCATTCTTAGGACTATTAGGTGTTCATAGTGAAGGGCTTTTTGGTAATGGGGACTGATCTCAGGGGTACTTAACCACTGAGTCACATCCCTATCCCTTTTTTGTATTTTATTTAGAGACAGGGTTTCACTGAGTTGCTCAGAACCTTGCCAAGTTGCTGAGGCTGGGTTTGAATTTGTAATCCTCCCATCCAGCTTCCCAAGCCACTGGGATTACAAGGTGCAGCCAGCCAACTATAAAGCATTTTTTGAAAAAAAAAAATCAAATAAAGTCACCTCCCTTTAGCTAACTCCTTGCCTGGAGTAACTTGGCAGCAGCACTGCCAGTCCCCTTGCCTGCTAAATCGTTTTCCGTTAATTTGTGACTTTTTTTTTTTTTAAAAAAAACTTTATTTTATTTGTTTATTTTTTATGTGGTGCTGAGGATCCAACCTAGGGCCTCTCCTGTGCTAGGTAAGTACTCTACCGCTGAGCCCCAGCCCCAGCCCCAAATTTGTGATTTTTCCCCCCACTATGTGTGGATGGATGGTCTGGAAGAACTATACCATTTGGGAAGGCAAAAAGCAAAGAAAATTATATTTATAAGAAAGTGTACCTACCAGTTTGTCCTTTTCTGGCAACTGTTTCCACACCTCAGCCAGTTTTTTACTAAGTTCTCCAAAATCTGGCAGAAGAGTTGAAAGAAAGACAACAATACAGATTAGGGCCAACTCAACAGAACAAAAGGCTGGTGAGAGCCAAACAGAAAAGAGCATCCCACTGAAGTGACGCTGGCTCCTTCAGGAGCCCCCCCCGATCGGAAGCCCCCCCCCACCCCACCCGGCCCTCGCGCCTTTCTTCTGCCTTTTCCTGTAGGAGTGGGGTGCTCTGGCCAGGAGACAGGCTCCAACCCTCCACATCTACTCTCTAGGGATTTGTTCCTCAGGCATCTTTTTGGCGTCCTTTCATTGAACTTCACAATAGAAGATCAACCAAGTTAGGTTAAAGCAATATGCTCAGAGAATTTGATCAAAGATGCTATGTTTCTACCAAAATTTCTGAGATCAGAAGCCAAGAGGAAGTTTCCTAGAGCAGTCCAGAAGTGTAATATCATCCTTTCTTTTGTATGGCACGTTTAGTCTGTGAGACCTACCCAGGTCACCTCAAAGCAACCTAGGAGTGGGCAGAGCAGCTACTTTACACAGTAGACCAGGGAGGTTTGTAGGTGTCAGTGACCCGTCTGAGGTCTCTGCCTGCTGTTCTCTGCTCACTGGCTTCTAATACGAACACAAACAGGAACAGCATAGCTCAGTCACCTCATTGTAACTCTACAGGCAAGGACAGTTTAAGAAAAAGGTCAAGATAGAATCTTGGAAGTAACTGTGTATTTATGCATATACATATGTATTATACTTTATAACATTGATTTTATAAAGTTTCCCATTTTATCAGTTTAAGAGATATGTATAGAAAGCTCCTATCTTAGGCTGGGGATGTGGCTCAAGCAGTAGCGCGCTTGCCTGGCATGCGTGTGGCCCGGGTTCGATCCTCAGCACCACATACCAACAAAGATGTTGTGTCCGCCAAAAACTAAGAAATAAATATTAAAAAAATTCTCCCCCCGCCTCACTCTCTCTTTAAAAAAACTATTTAAAAAAAAAGAAAGCTCCTATCTTTTATGCATAGGGCAAAATCTAAGGTGATCTGCAGATCTGAGGAAAAAAATGTGATTTGTGCTCTAACATTATGGGAAGAAGTTGCCTGCTGACTGGATCAATTAACTGCACTGATTCAGAGATAAAGTGAAAAAACTAAAGATCAGAAATGTTCTTACCTATCCCTGGATGGTCAGCCACAATGGTTACACGATATTCTTTACAGAACACTTGATAGGCTGACATGTTCTTCTTTTTTGGCTAGTGCCACATAGAAAACAGAAGGAGGCAAGAGTTGATTAGAATTCAAGTTTAAACTCAGTCTAGAGCAACAAAGTAGAAAGGGCATCTAAACTTTCTCATTCACAGAAAAATTCCATATTACTAAGCAAAACTCCTAAACAAGATATATATGAGGCTGCTGGGATTACAGGCATGCACCACCACGCCCGGGGCCAGCCCCATTTTTATGCTTTATTTTGAGCTAAGGTTTTGCTAAATTGCTGAGGTTGTGTTGAACTTGTGATCTTCCTGCCTCAGCCTCCGGAGTGGCTGGGATTACAGGCAACTGCTACAATGCCCAACAAGATAATTAGTTTTTAACCTTTGTTGCTTTTCACTTAGGAGTTGAGCCTCAGTTTTACTTTAGAAGGTAAAAACACAGGCTCCCTTACTTTTAGATTTTCCATTTTGTTGTAGCTCCATGCTGTTTGTAAAGCCTTTCACTCTTCTGTCTACACACACTGCAGAATTCTTTTAGAACTCAATGCTAACACAATCCTCACCTTTCCTGGGGTGTCTATTTTTCTTATCTTTGAAAATCAGAACCACTTAATTTCCTTTTAAACTCTGGGGCTAGAAACCCAAGAGCCAAATCCATGTTCTTTCTGTTTCTCTAATGTTGATTTCCAATCTTGAATTTTCCTGATCCTGTTTTCCTATCATTTGAAGTTTATCATTATTTTATTGTCCATATTCCTGTGGTTCAAGGTCAGAAGTAAATAAATACTGAAGACAATGTATTGGCAGTTATTGTCCAACAAACCTCTTTTGCTTCAACCCACTACTCTGTACACTTGAAGCATGTTTGTTTCTCACTGTATCTTGACAATGCCAAAAGCAATGTATAGTTTTTGAGATAAAATCAAATAACCTTCAAAGCCAGTTCAACAAGGCATATAGAAAACAAATAATTATATTACTACATAGTTCATTGTACAGCTTTCCATCGACTGGGGGAAAAATTTAAGTTTTCCTACACAGAAAGGGGCACTAGGTTAGATGTCATTCTATCTCTCCTTTTGAGGATGAGAAAAAGAAAACTCAGAAAAATAGTTTTAATAACTAGCATCCAAGACTACTAGAGCCCACAGTAGTCCTGACTTAGGGTCATGCATTGTGGGGAAAGAAAACATGATTTTTGTTTGTTTGTTTTTGAGTACTGGAGACTGAACCCAGGGGTGCTTTATGTTCGAGCACATCCTCAGCCTTTTAAATTCTGAGAGTTTCGCTAAGTTGCTGAGGCTGGCCTTAAACTTGTGATCCTCCTGCCTCGGCATTCTAATTGCTGGGATTATAGGTGTGTACTACTATGCTCAATGGGTAAGATGCTTCCTTACAGAAAATGTTACTATTTAAGCTTTTTTTTTTTTTTTTTTAAGGTACTGGGGATTGAACCAGGGCCTTGTGCACGCAAGGCAAGCACTCTACCAACTGAGCTATATCTCCAGCCTGAAAAATGTTACTATTTGAAACAAAGAGTTATCATTTTATAATTTTTTAAAATATGTTTTTAGTTGTAGATGGACACAATACCTTAATCTTATTTTTATGTTGTTTTGAGGATCAAACCTAGTGCCTTCCACATGTGAGGTGAGCGCTCTACACTGAGCTACAGCCCCAACCCTCACTTTATAATCTTAATCTAATAAACTGAGATGTTTTCAATATGATTTTCCTCAAAAAAATCAGACTTTACTCAACTGTAAGCATCAAAATAAAATGACTAATCTTCCTTCTCTCCTATGAGTGCCCTTTTTAGTCTTGCAATTACTAACAAAAGTAACAAAAGTTACTTTGGGGTGGGGCTGGGGCTGTAGCTCAGTGATGGAGTGCTTGCCTAGCATGTGTAAGGCTTTGGATTTAATCACCAGTAATGCCAAGAAAAGAAGTTGCTAGAGCTGGGCATGGTGGTGCACACCTGTAATCCCAGTGACTCCTGAGTCTAAGGTAGGAGGATTACAAGTTGAAGGCCAGCCTCAGCAACTTAGTGAGGCCCTAAGCAATTCAGTGAAACCCTGTCTCTAAAAATAAAAAGGCTGGGGGTGTAGCTCAGTAGTTAAGTGCCTCTGGGCTCAATCCTGGGTTAAAAAAATAAAGAAAGAGAGAAAGTAAGTAAGTTAGTTAGTTAATGGGAATTTCTGTTTCCCTTCAGAGTTAGATTTATGACCCCAAACCAACAAATACCAGTCCTGTCTCATACTTCAGAGTTGCATCTTGTTTTGAACAAAGCTTGATCACATACTGTTTACCTGATATAGTTCTTAATGTAATTTCCATAAAATAACTATCCTCAAATATTGTTTCCACAAAATAACTTTCTCAATGAAAAGCATGTGTAGTGGCTCTGACTTTAATTCCAAAAGGAATTCTGAAATCATTTTGTAGAATGGAAACATTCCTAGATACCTTCCAAAGCAATGGCATTGAATGTGATTATGTTTACTTGGAAAATTGTGGGATGTTTACTGAAAATTTAGTTTCAAAATCTTATGCTAATTAAAAAAATGGCTTATCTGTATGCTTAACATTTACTGAAGTACAATAATCTGTACATCTCCAAGTCTTTCCCAACTGTAGAATCAAAGTCACTACCAAACAATGAGAACATTAGAGAGCACATACGCACGAGACTCTACAACTCATTTGGCCACAGCAGAAAACTTGCAGGAAAGGCATTTTAACAACATTTTCCCAAACATGACACAAGACTCTAAAATGTTAATGTCCCTATTCATAAGGCTACCTATAGCTGTAAAGTTAAAACTACTTTAATAAAATTAATCACAATTTTTGGCCAGTATACTAGATCCCAATTTACCTACTGAAGGGGATTTCCTCATACCTCTTATAATTACTTTATTCTATTATATAGAAAATAAACTAGCATTTACTGAATAACTTACTCAGGGTGGTGGTACAATAAATAGTTAAGAGCATGAATTTTAAGGCCCAGATTATAACCTCAGGAAACTAAGAGCATAAACTGGAAATGCAGGAAATCTAAAGTCTAAGGTCCACTATCTCGTCTCAGCTACAGCATATACTGATTATTTAATAATGAATAAAACAAATGAAAGTGGGTAGCTTTTCTGATATGTGATATTAAAAGTATTCCAATGGCAAAGAAAGAAAAGCAGAGACTAAAAAGAAATATTTCAAAGGTAAAAGAAAAATGTTACCTATTAAAGTACTCTGACATTCATTTATTAATACATATTTACCAAGAGTCCACTATGTACTGGACATTGGGAACACAGTCAAAAATGAGATATAGAACATGACAACACAGACAAACATGAAATTTTAACAAAAGGCAATGTTATCATAGGGAAGATCCTGGTGCTATGGGCACATGGATGGGCACATCAAGTCAATATGCCAAAGGAGAATTTGGAGAAGTGGAATTTAATTTAGACCTGAAAGCTGGGTAGAAATAGGCAGAAGAAGAGTAGCTAGGAATGTTCTGGGCAAACTGGGCATGGTGGCACATGTCTGCATTCCCCAGTTACTCAGGAGATGGTGGAAGAAAGACCATAGAGTCTGAGGTCAGCCTAAGTAACTCAGCAAAACCCTGTCCCCAGATAAAGCCTAAAAGGGACTGAGGATGTTACTTTGTGCCCAGGGTGCCCCTGGGTTCAATCCGCAGCACTAGAAAGAAAATGGAGACAACACAAAATACAACAAAAAACCACAGCAGGCAGAGGGAACCATGGGACACTCCAAGACGGCTGCTAGAGATGAATTAGAGAAGCAGGCAGCGATCACGAACTGAGGCTCCGGGTCACGTGGACTCAGACACAAAGGACAGGTCAGGTGTTTGCAGCAGGCAGCTCCCCAGGCAGGGCCGTACTTTAAGACTGTGGAGAATGGACTAGAGAAGAGCAAGAGCAGAGGGCAGGAGGGCAGAGGCAGGGACTGCTGTCAGAGACCTGGGAAGGAGGATGGCAGCCTACAGATAAGACAGCGGCCTAGAGAAAAGCAAGTACATCAGAAGGACAGAAGAGTGACAGGATTTATAGAAAGTGCCTGGGCTTTGAATACCAACAGAGCTGAGTTAGAATCTCGACACTAGTAATTACTAGTTATACAAATGGCTTCATTTCCCTGAGCTTTAGCTTCCCTGATGGCACCATTTAACTGGAAGGTGGAAGTTAATCAAATGGTGTTTGGCGCTGTAGTAGGTACTCAGTGACGGTATTTTTGTGGCAGGCACAATTCCAACATGGCTCCCAAGATTCGGCTCCCTGGTGTGTATGGGCAAGTCTGGTGAATATGAAGGTTACCAATCCCAAGATCATGTTTCACTATCAGGCGAAGGGAATTTTGCAGATGTAATTAAGGTACTGGTGAGCTAAAGAGACTTAATCAAAAAGGAGATCATTCTGGCCAGGTACAGTGGTGCATAGCTATAATCCCAGCAACTTGGGAGGCTGAAGCAGAAGAAATGCAAGTTCAAAGCCAGTCTCGGCAACTTAGGTTTCCTGGGTTCAATCCCTGGTATCAAAAAAAAAAAAAAAAAAAAAAAAAAAAGAAGAAATGATTTTGACTGGACCTGACCTTGTCAAGTGAATGCTTCAAAACTGTAAGATAGTTTAGCAGGTTACTTTGTAGACATCAGCAAACTAAAGTTTCTGTAGAGAGGCAAATGACCCAGAATGGCTAACACAGTGTCGAATTAGAACAAAGTTGAAGGACTGGCATCACTCCACTTTTAATATTTACCATAAAACCACCATAATCAAGCTACAAGGTGGTATTGGTGAAAGAATAGATAAATACATCAATGGAACACAAAGAGCCTAGAGACGATGCACATAAATACAGCCAACTGGTTTCACAAAGGAGCAAAGACAACACAATAGAGAAGAGACACAGGAGATATATTTTCAACAAACAGCATTGGAACAACTGGATATACACAGGACAGAAAAATCAAAAGGGCCTGGTATGTGGCTCAGTGGTAGAGAGCTTGCCCAGCA